TCCATGTATTATACCCACTGGGTGGGAAGCTTTTGAGCCCCCTTCCCACTCCTCCTTGAATTTAATTGAGATCTTCTCTTGTGTGTCATTCTGTCTCTTTATCCTCAGCCGAGGCTTCTCGTTGCTGATCATGAAGAACTTGAATGTAACATCTCTGGGCCTCCGGTCCCTGAAGGAAATTAGTGCTGGGCGTATCTACATAAGTGCCAATCGGCAGCTGTGCTACCACCATTCCTTGAACTGGACCAAGCTGCTTCGGGGGCCTTCAGAAGAGAGACTAGACATCAAGCACAATCGGCCCCGCAGAGACTGTGGTGAGGGAAAGGGCCCACTGGGTGTTGAGAACAGGCAGTCAGGGAAGACAGGGTATAAGGATTATTCTGCCCTGAAATGGGAATAGGGTTGGAGATAAAACTATAGAGAAGGGGGAGATTAGTTTGGAAGAAGTAATGAGGAAGTGTTCAGGAGAGGGCTTGGTAGGTATCCCGGGCTCCTCTCCTAATCCACCCCTTCCTTTCCAGTGGCAGAAGGCAAAGTGTGTGACCCACTGTGCTCCTCTGGGGGATGCTGGGGCCCAGGCCCTAGTCAGTGCTTATCCTGCCGAAACTACAGCCGAGGAGGTGTCTGTGTCACCCACTGCAACTTTCTGAATGGGTATAGTGAGGGATACAATCAAGAAGGGGCGAGGGTGGAGCTCTGGGATGAAGCTGTGCACCTGAACGTTTAGACAGTTTTCTGCATATGCCTTGGTGGGAAAAGGTAGGAGACCTATGGGTATGGGCTCCAAACATGATGGTTAGGACTTGAAAGTGACCCCACTTCTTTTGTCCCCCACTGCAGGGAGCCTCGTGAGTTTGCCCATGATGCTAAATGCTTCTCCTGTCACCCAGAATGCCAACCCATGGAGGGCACTGCCACATGCAATGGCTCGGTATAGTAGCAGCACCATAATCTCTAAGGCAGATAGGGAAGAGGCAACCCTTGGAGCATCTAGGGAATGATATAGCCAAACCCTAGAGACAGTACAGGGAGGCCAGATAATCTAGGGATGGTGGATGGAGGATCCTAAGTGGCTGAATTGGTCTTTGCTAAGAGGTATGGAGTTAACCTTGGAATCCAATTCTTCCTGATCTGCTTTCTCTACTCAGGGCTCTGATGCTTGTACCCAATGTGCCCATTTTCGAGATGGGCCCCACTGTGTGAGCAGCTGCCCAAATGGAGTCTTAGGTGCCAAGGGCCCCATCTACAAGTACCCGGATGTTCAGAATGAATGTCAGCCCTGCCATGAGAACTGCACTCAGGGGTCAGTAATAGATAGGATGATGAAAAGAAGGGATCAGGTTGAAGGGTAGGAGCACAGAACTAGAGTGAAGAGAGAGTGGGTGGTGCCTATGGCTCAAAGGAGTAGGCTCCAGCCCCATGTGCCGGAGGTGGCAGGTTCAAGCCCAGCTCCAGCCAAAAACTGCAAAAAAAAAAAAAAAAAAAGAGTGAAGAGAGAAAAGGGGCACTGTGATTTAAAGATCACTCCCAGCCTGGTTGTGAAGCATTGGAGAAAGGAAACTCAGTAACAGCACACTATAGTTTGGGGAACCTGAAATAAGCTCAGTTCTTGAGTTTCATTATAGAGGGGCTCAGGGAGGGCTGGTGAGCTGGAGATGGAGGCCATGTCTTGGGCTAGGCTTTGGGCTCCAGGATAGGATGCCATGGTAGGTTCTGAAACAGCTTTTGTAAGGTTGAGGCCATTGGCGTTGAGCCTCTGTTGTTTGAGATCCCATTAAAGGGGTTGACTATCTTCTTTAGGTGTAAAGGACCAGAGCTACAAGACTGTTTAGACCAATCATTGGAGCTGATCAGGTATGATGGTCTTGGAGATTCTAGAAGCTAGGGATATTTGGGAGAGAAACTAGGGTGGGGGTGGTTACCTGCAGAGAAGAGTGCATCTATTCATTCACACCTTTTATATAGTCCACTGTTATTAGACTTGAGACATAAGAATCCAGGCTTCTGGCCTTTCTTTCCTAAAATTAATTTGTAGTAGCCTAATGGTGGTCTAGATTAGGTTGGTCCCTTCAGTGCTCAAGGATATATGTAACATATATGTAGGCCAGGCACAGTGGCTCACACCTGTAAACTTAGCACTCTGGGAGGCCGAGATGGGTGGAACACCTGAGCTCAGGAGTATGAGACCAGCCTGAGCAAGAGTGACACCCCATCTCTAAAAATAGCCTGGTGTTGTGGTGGGTGCCTATAGTTCCAGCTACTTGGGAGGCTGAGACAAGAGGATCCTTTGAGCCCAAGAGTTTGAGGTTACTATGAGCTGTGATGCCACAGCGCTGTACCAAGGGTGACAAAGTGAGACTTTATCACAAAAAAAAAAAAATGTGTGTGTATGTGTAAGTTAAATTCTTGCTCTACATCTGCACTATTATCTTGGCACAAGTATAGATGATTTTGGTAATGGAGGTGTATATCCAGGATAATGCTCAGTTTCTCTGTATTCCACAGCAAAACCCATCTGACAATGGCTTTGATGGTGATAGTAGGATTGGTAGCAATTTTCCTGATCTTGGGTGGCACTTTTCTCTATTGGCGTGGGCGCCAGATTCAGAATAAAAGGGCTATGAGGCGCTACTTGGAACGAGGTGAGGTGAGTACTTGGCTTAATTTAAAGAGGTCCCCGTGCCAACTGCACCCACAGATCAGGAATGAAATGTGCACCATTCCCCTTCTTTCCCTGGAGATTTGATCCCTTTCTTCAAGGAGAGAGTGTGGTTCTCTAGATAGAACTCTGGTCAGAAGTGGGAGGCATGCATTCTAGTCCTGATCTTGCTATTAATTTCCCACGTGACTTGGAAGAACTTACTTCTGTTCTCTGTGTCTAAGTTACATTCATCCTTTCAGGATGGTTGTAAGGGGATGATGTATGTGAAAGTGCTTTGAAAAGGATAGAGCCCCATATAAAAGGCAGTCAAGGTGACAGTATTACTAACGTTCCCAAGGAGCACCCCATAACCCACCTCCCCCATTAAAAAGAAAACCCAGCTCTCTGAATTCCTAATCTCATGACAACAAACAATTGCCTCAGTCCTCAGGGTCTGTTATTTCTCCATATGCCTACAATGTTTTCCAAAACTAAGACAATCTCTCTTCCTACTCTGTCTCTGCTGTGTTTACCACTTAGTGGGAGCAGGCTGGAGTAGGATGTGGATTGGGCTTTCCCCAATACCTCTATCCCTTCTGTTCCTCAGAGCATAGAGCCTCTGGATCCCAGTGAGAAGGCTAACAAAGTCTTGGCCAGAATCTTCAAAGAGACAGAGCTGAGGAAGCTTAAAGTGCTTGGCTCAGGTGTCTTTGGAACTGTGCACAAAGTGAGTGACCCAAGGGGGGCTGGAGAAGTGGGGAAAGTATTTAGGGCAAAGGAGGAAAAAATTTTAGCCAAGGGCTGACCTGGGGAGAATGACCTAGGCTGACTTCTGCCCCAAACTTCCCAGGGAGTGTGGATCCCTGAGGGTGAATCTATCAAGATTCCAGTCTGCATTAAAGTCATTGAGGACAAGAGTGGACGGCAAAGTTTTCAAGCTGTGACGGATGTAAGTGAAAGAAGGGAGCTCTGGGCTCAGCACCTGTAGCACAGTAGTTATGGCACTGGCCACATGCATTGAGGCCAGCAGGTTTGAGGCTGGTGGGTTCAAACCCAGCCCAGGCCAGCTAAACAACAATGACAACTGCAACAAAAGAAAATAGCCAGGCATTGTGGCGGGCATCTATAGTCTCAGCTACTTGGGAGACTGAGGCAAGAGCATCGCTAAGCCTAAGAGTTTGAGGTTGCTGTGAGCTGTGATGCCATGGCACTCTACCAAAGGTGACATCATTAAGACTCTGTCTCAAAAAAAAAAAAAAGGGAGCTCTGTATGCCACTAGGAGAGAGAACAACACTAGATACAATTATGTAGAAGCATGGCCCTGGCTCGGTGCCTGTGGCTCAAGAGGCTAAGGCACCAGCCACATACACCTAAGGTGGCGGGTTCAAATCCAGCCC